AAGAGCTCAACACTCCTCAAAGCAAAGGGGGGTAAGGGGAGGATAAAGTAGAGCAACACAGCAAGGGCAACAACTAAAAAGCAAGTAGTGAACATGGGAATCGATATTACAATTATAGTGCAGAAAAGTTATAAGTCAGATGTGCATTTCAAAATGGAAGGAGTTACATTCAAAGCTATGAGTCAGAATGAGCTTAGAGTTGCAAAAATTTTTACATTTGAAAACCCTAAGTCTCTAAAGATGGAGCAAGTAAAGAGCTCTGCAGTTCAATAGCTTAAGTTCCAGTATCAGCAACAGGAGGAGAGCCGGGCAGCTTGACAGACAACGCTCCTAGAAGCTCAGCAAGTGGAGTTTCTGACAAACCAACAGTCGAAGCAAAAAAAGGGGATGGAAGCTTGGTAGTTGAAGTCCCAGTAACCCCCGAAGCAAGGACCTCGGTTTCAACTGATGACGAATTTAAGGCTAGAGCTTGAGAGACAAAATTAGCAGAAAAAGGGGCAACCTCATGGACGACCAAAGAAGTATCAAGAGTAGGAGGAGGCATGACGCTAGCCTCAGGGTTTGCTGCCTCAGTCTCTTCCTCAGTGGGGGGATCGAAGTTGAAATTTAGGCCAGGGTAGATCTCTTCAACTCTGTCTTAAAAAACAAGCCACCCCGAGGCCCACTGAGTAGTGACATCGTCGGCCAATTTGGTATTCAGGTCGTCTTTCTCCTTGCCAGCTGCCCTCTGCACCTCGAACTCATCCCAAAGAGCGTTTTTTGCCTCAGCAAAGATGTCATACTCTCTCTTCATGTTCCTAAAAGAGCTCAAAGCCTCAAGAGACTCCTGACTGGCCTTAATCCAGTCATCTGTCTTCTGCTTGAGCTCCCTTGAGGTTTTCCTGAGCTCCTCTTTAGTCTTTTTAAGCTCTTCCTTGCAACTCCTCTCATTCCTCTCCTTCTCGGCTTCCAAGTCCCTACTAAGGGAAGTCTGCCTCTCCACTTGCTCTTGCAAATCTTGGACTTGGGCCTTAAGGTCGCTGTTTTCAAAAGACAATTTTGCAACCTTGAGCTCAAAAGTTCTGGAAGCCTGGACAGAACCGTCCATGGCTTGAATCCTTTTCAGCAACCCGCTTACATAGATGGCCATCTGAGAGTGAGCACAACCCAGAGCAGCTAAGGTCAGAATGATCAAATAACGCAAGACAAAATAAATAAATAAATAAATATGATGAATAAAAATATAATGAGACTTACAAAAGTAGCAACAAAGAGGGCAGTTGATATAGAAGTCCCAAGGGGCATAGTGGAGGCCCGTTGAATATCAGATTCTGGGAGAATGGAAGTAATGGCCTCTGCAGCTCGCTTCACATTATCGATCAGAAAGCTCGTACTTGTTTCAACACTCACCCCTTTTTCACTCTTGCAAATCTTGGGGGGTTGTAGAGAAGGCCCCTCAGTTGGACAGGGAGGAATAGACCCCGACAGAATGTGGAAAACCATTTCCAGAGCTCTCTCAACCTCGGCTGAAGAGGGTGAGACCAGGACCAAGCTGTGTTCCGGAGCCCCACCAGAAGGAGACAGCATAGTCTTTTGGGAACGAGGAGTCTGCGCGACCTTTAGGGAACTCGAGGGAGGTCGGGGAGTCACCTGAGACTTTTGAGGAGAAACGGGGGAAGCCTCCAGCTTTGGCACTTTGGCAAGGAGGGCTGAGTCGCTCCCAGAACCCACCTCGGCCTTGCATTTACTCCCACTCCGGTTTTTCTTCATCAAAGATAATTTAGCCATGCAATCCTTCGCAGTGGGCTCCATTGAAGAAGAACTTGGAAACTCAGGAAAGAACTAACGTAAAAATAAATAAATAAATAAATAAAAAGAAAGAGGGAGAAGAGGAGGCAAAGGTACCACCGAGAGTTAGATCAGTTGGTCAGGGACTGTTCTAGCTTAACCAAGGTCTCGGATTCGAGTCTTGGGAACGCAGCTGCGTTCAGTAGGGAGAGCTTTGCCGCCCTTATGGTCTTACCTAGCTCGAATCCAGATTAGTTGGAGCCCAAAATGACTTTCGGATACCAGATGGTCTGACCAAAAAAAAAAAAAAGAGCAAAGGGGCAAGATGGAAAGAGCATTACCTGTTATCTCCTCAGCGCTGATAGCAAAAAGAGGGGATGGGTTCTCAACCCTCACCTCAGGAGGACTAAATCCAAGCACTACAAGAACCTGGGTCTTGATGAGCTCTGAATATCTTTCTGAGTCACAGTTTGCCAAATTCCCTATAATCTGCTCATCTGCAGAGCTAAGTTTTGGTCTGATGCTTGAAAAACGAAGCCAGCGGAGCAAGGTCAGCCAAAGGAGACACTAAAGTTTATCCTAACTTGCTTGAGAAAAGGCTCACCCAAGTTGTCAGGGGCAGACCAGCCAGCCCCGAGGAATTGGAAGAGTATCTGTTATGTCAGCGGGATTGAACTCCCACTGACATACGTTTAGAGATAAAAAGAAAAGTTTATTCCAACCTTTGTTGGAGCTCAGAAGGTTGGAGATAAGAATCTTGATTTTCACACGTTTAGAGATATATAAAAAACCATCAGAGGGGGTGTACAAGGAGACCAACCAACACCCCCCAGAAGTTAGGAGAAAGCTGGGCAGGACAGACATTAAAATGTTGCAAGACGCTCTTGATAAAGGGATGCATAGGGAAGCGGAGATCATTCTCAAAAGCGGCTAAGAAGAAGCAGACATTCTTAGGGATGGAAGAGTCGTATAAGGTATACATATCGAAGCTCCAGAATTGTACACCTCGAGGAAAACCAAAACGAGCAACTAGAACCTTTAAGTAAGAAGGAACGATGTCACTAGAACCTACGAGCTCGGAAGCCCTGGGAGCAGCACCTCCACCCTCAGCACTGCCAGAAATCCCTACGCCCACCTTGGTTTTGCCCTTGCTAAGAGTTTTCAGAGCAGTGGAGGAGACTCCTTAGAACCTCCCCCGACGTCGACAGGATCCACGCCATGGAAACTATCGATTTCCTGCCCTACATCTCCCAGATCGGAGTCCTCCTCAGCGAACCTATCCCTCATTAGAGAAATGGACGAACCCGTGGCTTCAAAGGAGGTAGACATGACTGGGCAAGAGTAAGGAAGCTTAAAAGACTTGTAAAGTAAGGGAACCTCCGAGAAACACTCTCTGAGAGTCTGGGGGGCAACACAGCAACTGTCAATAAGGAAAACCCTAGCAGTTGAATAAGGGTCTAAGAAAAGGGGAATACGGGACAAAGATCGACCGCAGTTCCTAAAATAACATAATCGAAAAGTCCAAAAATGCAGAAACCACCTCAGACTTGAGGGATCCAAACGAGGAGATGAACAGAGAACAGGAAGCGTACCTAAGTCAAGATGAACAGTGGGCCAAAGCTCAAATTGAAGGTGAGGAGTGAACTTCGAGCTGAATCAAGGGAAACCGATTCTCTGTGAAACCCTAAGAACAACGGCAAATTGAGGAAGATGAGATCGCAAAAAAGTGAAGCAAAAGAGTCAGAGAGAATTCAAAAAGTAAGGGACCCGTCGATCTAGGGACATTTAAAGCTAACGGTGCAAGGGGTTTTCGAAGTGAGCAACGTGCGCGAGAAACAAGGAAAGAAATGATTATTGGCAACCGTCAAAAATTTGTCCACACAAGCATCGAGGTCACTGAACAAAGGTCCACTCTGCTTCGGTTTAAGTTCAGCTCTTGTTCTAGCTTGCTTAAACCAAGAGCTGGGAGATAACTGATGATGCATGAATAAAGAATTTTTACTAAGTATGAGCTCAGGAAGCCAAGTCGGGCAATGAGCCTAGAGCTCTGAAGCCCAAGTCTCGAGCTCCTCTACGTTGAAAGACCAGAGAAGTCAAGGAAAGAACAGCTAGACAGAAATAAGCGTCCACAAAAACAGCAAAGAGGTAGTGATCAAGGCGTGAAACTCTAAACCACCCAAGATCTCCTTCTAAAATTAAGGAAAGTTCTGTGGTTAACGAGCAAAGATCTCGCTGAAGATCCCTTAGTGATACAAATCGTGCTATAAATACTGTACTTTGCCTCATTGAGAGAAAAAAGAAGGAAAAAAATCGGAAATCATAGAACAAACTCTGTAAGTTAAATCCTTCACGACTAAAGAGAAAAGGAGTAAGAGCCTCCATTGAAGAGTGGATTAGCCGAGCTCCCGAACTGGTACACCACTATATTTTTGTTGTGCACATCACCCCAATCCCCTAGTAATTCTGAGCACAATCCTCACGAGCTTTGTAGCTCAGATCTAAGTCGACAAGCATAATCCATATCCTCTGCTCATCCACTTCGGTTTACACCATCAACATGTATAAAGAATGCTTTGAGTATGCATTATTCTGGCACTATGGGACTGTAGAGTTTAGTAAAGGGATCTGGACATATGTAGTCCAACATGCTTGGCAAAATCTTGGAATTGGTTATAGCTTTTATCATTTTTTGTTGGATGTTATTATTACATTTCTACATTATATTGGACAATAAATTAGATGCTGATTATGCGAATACCAAATACTGCTATTTTACAATTTCAGTATGGTCCAACCGCTTATTCTGAGTATTGAAGCCTTTTTCTTATATTTCTGACACTTTGAGCTTAATAATAGTGATGTTGTTTTGTGTATTTGGTTTTCCAATCTTTACATTGCATTCATAATCACAATCAAATGTTACAGATGTTCTTATCATGGCTAAACGTCCTTCAATCTCCTGTGGAACTAAGAGGTTTTACTCTCTTTTTAATGCCTTAATTTGTTCCCAAATTTTTTTTGTAGAGGTTGGATAATAGATAGAGTGGCCATAACAGTTTGATTCAAAAATATTTTGACTCTAGGTTTTGATAAATTTCAGATTTAACAAAAGTTATGGATGCAAATCATTGAAAAACTTGATCCATTTTTTGTAATTGGTGTTTTTGTATGTGAACTTAGGTAGAAATATCCACAATTAGAGAAAGAAAAAAATTAGAAAAATTAAAAATACTAACACTAATAAGAAACATTGCTTACTGCAACATGCATACAAGAATCAAAGATGTGGAAGTTGTGCATATCCATTCAGTAGAATATTTTGTCAGCTTAGGAATAATGTTGCAGGAATAGCATCATGATTCATGAGTAGAGTCTTAATAAGCGGAATCATATCAAGTGAGAGAGATGTGAAGAGGCAAGCAAAGGAACCTTGACAGTGTAACCCCTAAGCATAAGCTTTCGGACAACAATGCGACCCACGCGGCTGGTGGCACCAACAACGAGGACGGTGGTATTCTGGGCCCCAGGGATGGCAAACTCGCACATGGGACCACCCTCCCTAATGAGAAGGCTGGCCTCATCGTCGGTGCGGGTCGTCCTGGAGATCTGTCCCAATCCGGAGAACTTGCGCCACACCTCGTCGAATATCTGCCTCGACCGCCTTCCCAGTCCCACTGGATTCACGTCGTCCAGCCTCCTCATAACTGAAACAGAAGAAGAAGAAGAAGAAGGCTGTTCCTTCTTAGGGTTGCCAACGCCGTCTACATTATCCTCCTCCTCCTCCTCGTCATCGTAGTTATCCTTCTTCTTCTGCTTCTTTTTGTCTTTGCCAGTCTCGGGCGCAGAAGCAGAGGAAGCCGCCCTCGAAAACACCAGTAGGGTGGAGCGTCTGTGAGCACGATGAGCAGCAATACTCCAGCCATGGGCACAGCTATCACTAGTGGCCGTGGTTGGGCACGAAAGAGGAAAAGTCCTCCTCATGAATTCCGGCGAATGCCTCGATCCTCTTGTTTGGGCACCGCCAAATAGGGCCGTGGTAGTAGGTGTCAGGGCAGCAGTTGCACTAGTCATTTCGTCTGTCTAATTCCACAATAACCACCCCAGCTGCTTCCACGCTCTGCCCCGGATTTCTTTCTTCCCTCCCCCCCCCCCGTGATCGGAGGTCAACAATGAGATTCTAATCTATGTTCCCCTATTGATTTGAGAGTGAAGTAAAATGTGATCTCAAACGAAATTAAGGCCAAAGTCCAAGAGGCAGGTGAAAGAGAACAGCCCAAGTGGACGGCTAGAAATTGCAGTTACGAACATGGGAGAGTATGAATGTGTGGTCTCAAACGAAACACTCGACTGTGGCTCAAAATTTTTGAAAGTTTTGGGCAAATTACATTTTGACTTCCATAATTATGTCAATGGTCTCACTTTACCGCGTCAAATAATGGGTTTCTCGCATGACCTTCCAATATATCAATTAATTTTATACTTCTGTTGTATTAATTCTGTAATATAAAATTGGACCTCGTTAATAATCGATAATCTCAAACAACGGTTACCAATATTTTTTTATTTACCCCTAAATTCATCATTTTTCATCCACAATTATTTTCAAAATACTGACCCCTCTCAATCAGCTCACCTGTCACTGCCTCCCCCTCCATCTTTTTTTTTTTTTTTTTTCCTCCCTTCTGTCAGACAGCCATCCCTTCCTTTCTATTTTCATTTTTTTTTTCCACCCTCTGTTACTCCTTACTCCTTACTCCTTACCATCTCTCTCTCATTACCTCTCTGTTACGCTCCTTAACATCTCTCTTTATCTCTCTCTCTCTCTGTTACGCTCCTTACCTCCACCGCCACTTCGTCAGCAACACCACCGCCGCCGCTGCTGTCAGCACTTGAAGAAGAAGAAGCAGCAACAGCAGCAGTAGTTATGACTGGGAGGAGTAGCGAGTGGCGTCTTCAAAGAGGGCAGTACTTGGGATAAATCTCAGCCCACTGTTTTGTCCACCCATCGCCGGTTTGTTCTTTTTTTCTTCTCTTTCTTAGACTCATACTCTATCATTATGTGCAATCGCACGCAAACATATGTACGTCACTCTTCGTGCAGAAAGAAAGATATGGTGGAATGTGTGTGTGCAAGATCTTACATAATATAAATACGAGAACAGATCTCTCCCGTGGTGAACTCGAGTCAGTCAATCAAATGGTCAACCTTGCTATTGGGAACAGCCTGTGAGGTCCTGTGGTAACCTAGAACGATAATGGAAGACCCGTGTGGATCAACGGAGCGATCCAGTAAGGCTGAGAAGGTTCATGGAACAAAGAAAGGCAAGTTAGAAGGGCGCCGGAGTATTTTTCGGCGTATCCCCTCCGACGATCAAGTCAGTATTTGAGAGGGGGGAAGAAGAAAACACTGAGTATAGGTTTTTGAAAAGGTTTTTTATTGCGTACCGTCTTGCCTTTTGTGAGGAGTATTTATATCTCAAAAACTCATGATTGCTGTCAGTGTGGTCAATAGGTGATCATTAGGTACAAGCAACGTGCGCACTGATTCCTATGAGAAATGTCTTCTCTTTTAACTGCTCGGGGCGTCGTCATCGGCCTGTCGAATATTCAATGAGTTCTTCTCGGCAAGAGAGTAATAAATGTCCAGTATCAGGGACATTTATTGTCTTTCTCTTCTGAGCCTTATCGCATTAAATGTTGTCTCATCAAGGGAATGACTTAATTAAATGCTTGTTTTCCCAAGTTGTGTGTCAACAAGGACATCTAGTCTTTTTGTCTCTGATGTGACACAATATGTCACGTGCTCCTTCCCCATTGGCTGCGTCTTTTGCCTTCCTATGCCTTCTGACACCAATTGTGTAAGACGAGGTCATGATGGCTAACTTAGCCTAGCCTAGGCTAGTGACTTGTACATCAATAGCCTCTGCGGGAGCAGAGAATGCCATCCTGGACGGCACACCTCGAAACCAAGGGGGAGGTACATCTCGAAGCCGAGAGGGAGATACATATAGGGACCGATGTACCATATCCCCGACCGAGGGATACATGTCGGTACGTAAACGTACTGGATGTCATTGATCCCTACGACCAGTACCTCGGGGGAGAGGAACTTATGAACCGATGGGTACATGTCGTGATCACAGTAACAAGAATTAGTGACACTGAGGACACGTGTCTTCATCTTGGAGTATTTTGGAAATGTCCCATCAGAATGCATAAACTACTATGAGAGGACACACCAGCAGTTGAACCATGGCTTCTAATAGTGCAAAAGACCCTTATAGATCTGGCCATGGATAAAAAGATAACTCAAATAATTGCACATATGCTTCTCAGTGTGATTAACAAAGATCACTTTCCCAAAACAACTAAAGCTCAAAGATCAGAAGAGTTTTAATTTGCCATTGTGAGTTCTACAGATTAAGCAACTCCTGACAGTTTTCTTGCGATCTTTTTTTTCAACAGGAACGGGTTCACAACTTCTACTTTATGATTTAGTGACAGGAGTGATGATAAGATCGTTAAAAGTTTTTGAAGGAATACGTGTTCATGGAATTTGTTTAGAGAAATTTCATCAACAATCATCCTCTTCTATGCTTGCCGTCAAGATTGTTGTCTTGGTGACAGAAAAGTGAAAATGTTCTGTTTACGTATTGAAATAGTGATCAATTCGCAAAATAAGCCTCAAGTATCCATGGTGAATTTGATTCTTTTGCTGTCACTGCCAAAGTTAAATCATTGGGTGTTGGACGTTCACTTCTTAAAGGTAATTTTTGGTCATGTTTTCAGGTTAATTATGCTCATTCTTTAGACCAATTCTCTCTAATAACTGGAGAGCTGGTTCACTAATAAACCGAGGGATAAGTAATTCTACTCATTCACATCCAGATCATGAATGTTTGTTGGAATATCCAATTCTATTATGCTCACTCTACTAATCATTCAAATTTTCTTTTTATGTGATCTTTAAATTTTCAATTTCTTATTGTGCTTATTCTACTAATTTACATTTGAATTGGTTGTAAGACTCGGTGTCTTCTTCACATTAGGAGAGCCAGTATCTTGCCATTGGGTGTAGTGACAACTCTGTATGTTTTTGGAATATTTTAAGATTAGATTTCATTTAATTTTGTTTGCAATGTTTGTCCTTTATTTATTTTTTATTAATTTGCTTAGGTTTGCAATTGTCTATCTTTGTGTGTCCCTTTGATTCTACGTACCACAAGTTCCCACTCTTTATGATGTCTACTGAAAAAATTCGAAATTATAGTTGCGGTGTAGTATATCTTAAGATCAAGATTTATGTTTGAGTGTTGAGTATTTCACGTTCTCCACCTCAATTTGCTTGAAACTTGGGATAAGACTTTGGTATGCCGAATGTGTCGATATTGGTTGCATTGACTATTTTTTGTGTGACTTGACTCCTTGTTGTGTGTTTTCACCTTTTACTTTTTGCTTTTTGTTTTTTATTCATATGTAGAGTAGTGTCTGTTGTATTCCATGCGGATGTGGGGTGATGAAGTTGAAGCTCTTCATGTTGCATACAAAACTATTTATAACGAGGTAGTGAAAATCCCCCTTTATTGGTTTTCCAGAAATTATCACCCGTTCACTGCTTTGATAGTTGTTCATTACAAATTCAGGTCTCCATGACTGAGTGCTTATGTAAGTAAAAAAGAATTTCCAAGTGATTTTACTGTTTGTGCCTTTTACCTTGCCTTATCCTGACCTTTATGTGGCCTTATCTGGCCTTTTGTACTAGGTTTGAATGGTGTTTCTCTGTTCTGTTGTTGAAACCCAACTGATGCTATTTATGAGAAAAGCTGTCATTCTGCTGTAAAGACATGATGCCCCGCATCATGGTAGTTCTTCTTGAGATCTTGCATTTTATGATTAGCACTAGGATGTTTCCAAAAGTGATGATATAAGTGTCAGGTTGCCACGATTTTTTTTTTGGGGGAGGGGGGGGAATGTTATATGAGTTTGTCTACGACCAATCTTGAGTTTCTGTACTTGAATCATGGTTTTGTTTTGTTTTGTTTTTATTGTTTCATGCTCTCTATGATTGCTAGGAAATATGTCCCTTGATTTTTTTTTTATTATGTATAAATTTTTGCCTTGCTTAGATGCTATTTATTTTTCTACAAAATTTTAGGCTTAGGGTTTAAGTTTTATATATTCAATCTAATCCTGAAGTTATGAATTATTCAATTACATTTTTAATTAACATTGCTTTGGAATATAATTTTTCTCTCTTATTACGTTTCTTTAGAAAACAACGTGCTAGAGACAAATCTTGACGTAATTGTGCATAATTTTGATACTGCATTTGTTTAATATTTGATGTAATTGGGTTTGGTAATTGCACCCAAATAATAACCCTCATTCATTCCCCCAAATTAATTTGCGTGAAAATTTCAATTAACATTTTATCTCTTTCTTGCATTTTGAGATTTGGGATTGACATTTTGGAACAATTAACATTGAGTGAATTACTAATTCGATTATTGTTGCGCAGATTCGGGTCTATCAGAGATTATTTTAAAGGTTGTGGAGGGTAAAAATCTTCTCACTAGTAGTAATTTATACATACTTGTAATATGGGTTTTGTTGATTTATTGATTAGACATTGATTTAAAAATAGTAAATGTCATTTTGTTGTGTGATGGAAGTTGTTGGAGATTGAAAAATTTTGTGGATTGTTTCTAAATTTTTGAGAAAGTGGTTGTATCACACAATTTTATATTTGGCATGTCACTTTTTCAAGTATTCATATGGTGCATTTGTTGTGGTTAATGTATTAAAGAATAGTTTTAAGTTAGCTTTAGATGAATAAAAGAGCATTTTTATTTTTCAACCTCATCCATTTTATTTGGTATTTTGTATAGGCACCAATTGATTTGATTGATTCAATTAAACTTATGGAATGTCATGTGGGGTTTATAGTCTAAAATACAATTTAGACTTTTAGTTTAATGCATGTTAATGTTCAATGTTTGATTGTTTTGTGTTCTAGAATAATTTTTTTTTTTTTGAATTGCACAGTGCCTTCAGGCATGGGTTAAAGGGCAATTTAGTCTTTCAACTTAGTACCCATTTGAGTTCAGTGCTCGATTTTTTTTTAATTGCACAGTGCCTTTAG